TGCAAAACATTCTTAATTTTACAAAAAAATATTGATCAGGTAAAAAAAAAGTTTTAGTATTTTTAATTGTTTTTCATAAAATTGTCGAATTTAAACTATTTTTGATGCAAGCAAATTCACTTTTTACTACTTTTTACTAGAAGTTTTTTTTATAAAATATAAGTATCAACTTGATTAAGTTTTCCATATAAATGCTATTTAAGATTTTTCAATTTTTGAATTGAGCTGTGTAATTTTCAGCAATTTTACTAGATTTTGTTTAAGCCGTAACAATCTTTTTGCATCAATTTTTCAAAAATTAATTCAAAAAGGAAAAAATCTATACAACTTTCAACTTTCGTGTGAATATTGACTAATTTGTGGTAAATTTGACTTCCAGTGTGAAATTTAGCCTTAAACTTTACTTTTCTTAATCCTCTATCTTAAATAAATTTTAAACTTCAAACAATGTATCAATTAATTGTCTCTTTAACATAATATATATTTTTGTATTTACTCTCTTGGATTTTCTTGACTTTTTGCCGCATGTTTTCCAAATTTTGAAAACTTCAAAAAAAAACTTAAAATTTTATAAGTGGCCTTATTTTCCCTTCGTGATTTTTCATTTTTCGGATATTTTATCCACTAGTGTTGTGGACTTATCATTTTTCGGTGCAAATGTCTAGCTCTTACAAATTTGGGGGTCAAAATTGTTTTAATTTATGGAAATCCTTGTACTTTAAATCCATGGAATTCCATGGAAATCCATAGATTCTGCCAGATAATCCGGACTCAGCACTTAAAGATTTAAAATTAAAAAGAATCAATGAATTAAAATTCTTGCAAAGATTAGCTTCAAAAAATATATAATAATTAAATTTAGTTAAATTCAAATTAATTGAAGTGGAAAAAAATATAGAAATGTATATTTATCATTAAACACTTTATAAAACACTCATCTCAACTTTTCATTTTTTAAGATAAAAGTTTAAAATATAAGATTTATTTTTTTAAATAATTCCTCGTAATTACACGTAATTCTGTGGAACACTCCATGAAAAATGCGAATCGCAAAAATTAAACGCAACAAAATTGAAAAGTGGAAATATGCGTAATTACGTAGAATTCCATTGTAAAATTCCGTTGCAATAAAATTCTTAGGAATTCCGCTAAAAGTTCCGCGGAATTACGTCTACGATTTGCACTATATTCATTTCGGATGACTTGAGTCAATAACCTTAAAATAGAATGATAAAAAAATAAAAATCAACAATCTATAGAAATACAGAAAATACTGGAAAATAAAACTATTTTAATGAAATACTTTTAACCATCAAATCAACAAGCTGCTCAGTATCAAAATTCACGAAATCACTTGACGCATATTTTAAGGAAATCCCCTATTTGATAATCTTTCACAACTGAACCACAACGCGATAAAAATTTACATTTTAAAAATTTCTTTAAACGATTTCGAGTGAAAATTGATGAACTTCAAAAACTCTTCCCCAAAAAAAAAACAAATTTCTCTTGGCTAGCGATCATGATTTGAATGAACACAACAAAATATTCAATTATCGATGGTGATGATGAATGCCAAAAAAAAATATTTTTGTGTATAAAAAAGAAAGTTTTTCATATTCATGATGAAATTCGTTTATATCTGCTAATTCAGTACTTCAAATTACTTGATATTATGTACAATTGACATATGGTTACTGGCAGTGGAAACTTGTTTATGACTAATTTCATTCTAAAAGTGAATTTTTTCATGTAAAAATACCCAACATGATTTACTGCACAATGATTTTGACGAGAAAGAATAATAAAAAATTCCATTATTTTTCATGCCACACAAAAAAAAGTCCAGCAGGCAAATAAAAAATTCGAGAGACGTGAATAATGCGACATATGACAATATCATTTCATTTCGATCAAGTTCTAAGCTTGCCTGAATTCGCTACTTTGTTCATTCCACGTAGGCCATTCACATCTTCTAGAAAAAATGCCATAAAAAATTACTTTTTTGTATTCATCACCATGTGTCTTGTTTGTGAATTAAATGTAAATTTAAAAATTCCAAAAGTGCCACTGCCGTATCTCTTTCATCACAAGATTGAAATTTATCATCAAATATTTATAAATTTCCATATCGGAGTCCTAATGCGATCAATGATTAAATTTGTATTACTAGGTATTTATTGCTATGCTTAACATCAGCAGTAGCTCAATGAACTTTAACAAAGAATAATAAAATTGCTGCTGAGTACTTTACGCTTTACTTTAAATACAGTGAACTATTTCAAGCAAGAAGGATGTCTACCTTGAGATAAAGAATCAAACTTTAAAATTGTGTTGGGGCTGGGGATTTGCAGGGTTGGATTACAATTAAATGCTATGTGAACTGATGATTTGCAAGATTTGGTCGAGAATTCGTTCGACTTACCAACTTGGTGACGACACTAGTTTGGTATATGCTGTCATAAGTTAATGACTTCTGATTACTCTTTACTTCATCCCAACTCTGACTAGTTCACTACCTTTATAAATAAATATCAACATCACCATGTGTGGAATTAGAAGTAAGAAACAATCTTACAGTAGGTGTTAATTGACTTAATCTTTTACGCGCCCGGATTCAATAACAAGCACACTTTATTTTCGGAATTTCATACTTCAAATGTCTAAATTTACACCTTGATGTCTTTTGATTATGATTAAATTGAGGAAACATATAAAGTTCTCAAGCTCTGTCTCATCATTTTAATCCAAATTTACCTTGAAGCTAGATGTAGCTACATCGATTGCTATCTTAATTGCTGAAAAAAAAATCAACAGAGAAAGAAGAGAATGAGAATGTCATAAACACATGAGTAGATCGCTCGACACTACCCTAATGCCAATTATTTTCTAATTCTAACGAAAAGGCAATGATCCTTTTAGAGGAATAAAGAATAGAATAATCTTGATGACTGGCTGAAACAAGACGACGAAGAGAAAATTGTTGAAGCAGCACAACTCATTCACTCAACTTCATATCTTATCGTCTTTCTTTTTGGCTTGTGTTTTTTCATTGTTGTGTGCTGTAGCTGTAGCTGTAGCTGTTTCTACAGCATAGACGAATGAACAAATAGAATTATGCAATTGCCTTGTTATCGCGAAAAATGTATAAAAAGAATGTATAACTTCCTCTCAATGAGAAATCTTAACGACTTATAATGTGAAGAGCATTCATTTTCCATTAAAGAGGAAGGCACAAGAACATGTAGATGATTATGAGACTGAATATTGGGAGTGGAATGATCATGGTAATGAAATAGAAACTGTTTAGAAAGTAAAAATCTCGATAAACTGACATGTTAGTGATGTTTCTCATTCCACGGCTATTTCGCCCCGTTGTCCTTATCAATAATCTTAATTTTCATTCCATTTATGTGCATAAGTATCACTTCGACTTATGTCGATGTCCATTAGATTCTTAAATTGTCTTAATAGCATTCTCATTTGAATAATCAAAGTTTCGCTTTTTATTCGTTGTCTATTCGTACATGCTAACTGCTGCATATTACTAAGTATGTGTTCCTTCTTTGTAAACTATTGTTCAATGACACTGACGCTGATGGAAAATTGAGAATTTTATGCAAATTATCATCATATTCATTCTCTTCTCCTGAAATGTTGTGTACTTGTACCAAGTTGTTGATTTTTAATTTTTTTGTGGCTCATAATTATCGTGATTTGTTTGGAACCGTTACTTTTGAGTTTAAATTTTTCTTCGACACAAAAAACTTTCTTAAATCTGAAAAAGTCGTTAAAACTTTAAAATAGTTTAGAATCAATAAAACCAAAATGTTTGTCAAACTAAGAGAGCCGCAGCTCCAGTTACTCCATAAATTGTAGAATGTAAATATCCAACGTCCTTGGATAATTCGAAAAATGTAGAATTAAAAAGCAAGCGAATTGCATATTCAACCAGTTAAGAAGCATAATGATACGTTTTTCATGTGCATTATGGGAAGTGATCATTTAATCTTTGATATTTTCCAAAGGCACAGCACACGACGGCAGTAACAGGGCTCTAGCAGCGAGACAAAATATATAGCACAGTAAAGTATATATCTCAGGCAGGCATAATATGTAATTGTTACAAACTATTCAAGGTCGAACATGTTACCAACAATTTCGTGGGTTTTTCTTGTCTAAATTTATAAAAAAAATATATACATAACTTAATGTAAATGCATTCTAAATGATTTTAGATTCATCGCAAACACAGCTTTGATCGAGAAAAAAAATTAAACATAATAAAGCAGTTGGGTAGGGCTGGCATGACTAGCTAGTTCAAACTTAAAAATTTTAGGCAAAACAAAAAAATACGGATCTTATGAAGAATAGAAAAGTAGAGTTTGTGGAATTTGGGGCATGCCATTGCATGAGTCATGCAACCCGCATGCATACATTAGATTTAATAATTTTTTTAGGCTACCATAATGCGCAAACGTGCGACGACCTTTCTCAATGTCTCTTGTTATGCAAAAAAAAATCCTTTCGCTTTCATTCACCTCTCTTTTTTGTCGGTTCCGAATCGTATTGTTTGCGCGAAAATAAATTGGAGCAATTTCATGCATGCACATGTCAATTCAGTCTAATAATTTACGGTTATGATAATTGATTCAGCTACAAATGACAGAATGATAGACGACTTTGACCATGGCTACACGTGAAAAATATGAAAATTAATTTATTTTTTTTTGACTTATGTCCTTCGATGAGATCACATACATACCCAACTACCGTAATTGTCGTTTAATTTAAATGACCCATTTCAATTGTTGATGTTTCTCACATAGCATCACTGATATTCCCATAACGCGTTGATGACGACAATTACACGATTAGTTCATGTTCATCAATGCTATAATTACTGTAATTAAAATCTTTTTTTTTGTCATATTCCATCCTAAATTCATTAATTCTAGCTACTTTTTACACAATTTATTAATTTTATTTTGTTCTTTCAGCCTTGGACCTCACCAAAGCTCAACACTGCCACGTGAAATGGTGTCTAGGCGTAAAATATTATCACGATCACGTGACGATCTAAATTTGGATCAGGCTTACATGCAAATGGAGGATGAGGAAGATATTTGGTACCAAAAAGATAAACTATTCAAAGTAAGTGGCATTTTAATGAGCTCTATAGTTACATGAATCATAATATAATTTTATATGTATCTGGTCGCGTACCTTCAAAAATTTTTATTATTTTTAAAAAGTTTCCGAAGTAATTTTCATTGAACTTTATTTTTTAAAAAAATATTTCATCTTTCTTGGGTTTCTCTTGTTTCTTTGATGTTTTGTGGGATGATGATGGTCATGAATGATTTAAGCTAGTGTGGCTTAAGATGAGTAAATGTGAATGCACCAGCTTTGTTTGACTGGCTGGATTTTTGATGCTTTATTAAGTTGATTGTATAATAATTCTTTAATTAACTGGATGTTAAACTCAAATTTAACTTACAATCTGGTGCTTCCAACAAGAAATGCGCCTACACCATTAATTCCAACAATAATCTATAACTTTAAGCATCCAAAATGCAAACATGAACAAATTTGAACGCACTCGAAGGTAGAAGAGATGATTAATTGAATTCTTTTCCATTAACGAATGCCATCTTGAACCGTTTTTGGGTAATAAGCCTGTGTCTCATTAATGTAAAATATTAATGCTACATTTCATTAACGTACCAACTTGACAAAATGTTGTTAAACAACGCAATAAACATTGAATCATTTCCTAACTTCTCTTATCATTAATCATTTGAAATATCTCATCAGACAAGTCATTCATGATGAAGAAGTAGACGAATTTGATTGAGAAATCGAAAATAATTTACGTAGTATTAAAAAATTAAAGTTAATAAGACACAGAAAATGGAAATAAGAGAACATGAATGAATGAACAAAGTCGTTTTTCGAGAGTTTTTATTTTGTGGGAAACAATAGGGAGGAGAGATAAAAGTATGTAATTAATATTATTTCAACACACCATTACGGTACCATGTGAATTCTGAGTCAAGTGGAAAAAAAGTATCACGTAGAGGCTTTATTTTCATATCTTTTTTTGTTTTCATCGCAACGATTAGACAGTAGAGTGAACTATCTCAAGGTCATGATGTAATAATTTGTTTACGGTGTTTTTCTTCCTACAAAGAAGAAGACACGATGACGACTATGAAAATATAGGTTAAGATGAAGATGAATGAGTCTGTGAAATGGCATTTAAAAGGGCATGAAATATGTTAACAAGCTATAAGAAAAATGTGGGGCAATGCAGAATTTATGGGATAATCTTCATGTAATACATAAATTCTAAAAGTATGTAGATGATGAGTAATTGATAAAGTTAAAGTTTGTGAATGACTTTGTGGGATGTGAATCAGATTTAATTTCGACAAGTTGTCAACGACAGGTTGAAGCTATTTATTATGAATTTATAAAATGCACTGCTTTTATTGAAGTTGTGAAAGAGATCAATATGCAGTATGAACGAAGATGAGCTTTACAGCAAACTTAAGCAACAACTAAATAATTAAGCGAATTTTGCCTGTATATTCGCAAAAAAGAAATCCTCAATCATCAATAAGTCACCACCAATTCATCAAACCTTGAACTCAATCACTGACGATTTTCTCAACTGACCAAAATTTCACACTTCGCATGTATAAATATCACAGATTAATACCAAACATTTCATATTTGATATTTTATACTCAAGCTAATCATTTTGATTAGACATGCAACTGGATTTATTTTCTTTTTAATTATTTCGCTGCCTAAGTTTTCAATTTGTGAATCAAATTAATGAAAAGTCAATCATTAGCTGTCACTCTCTTATCTCTTGCTATACACATTTCTCACCAATCTATGAATGAATATCCACAAAAAATGTGCATGTGATAGGTTTTGAAATATCGGTGAAACGTGATTTACACAATCTTTGTGTCTATTTGATAGGAGGCACAAATTGAATATTCAAATTTAATATTTTGTTACGGTCTATGGCCATACCAAAATGAAGTTATTTGTTTGTCAATTACAAATTTCACTAGACAAGTGGCACGAATGTGTTTAAGAAGTTTATGTCAATATTTTATTAAATTGTCTTAGGGGACATTAAGTAATGACGTCTTATGCACAGCTTATAGATCTTAGACTTTTTTCAAGCAACTCTTAGCATCAATTCCTCTTATAAGAACTTTACATAATTTATAAATTTCCCCTCAAACCTTAAAAAATATTGCATGCCTTCTGGCTGACGCGGTGTGCCTAACATGTAAGTGTCAATGCATGAATACGAAGAAAAAAACAAAAAAGAATTTAATCGATTCCGTTCGATGGCCCCATTTTTAGCTTAATTTATGCTACAAAGACTCATTAAAGTGACCAACAAGAACATTTTTCAAAATTGTTCTGTTTTCAATCAATCACAAGTCATGGAATGTCCATCAACAGTGCAACAATTGGCATGAAATCTAAGTAACATTCTTTATGCCAATTAATCTCCCTTTAACATGAGAAAAACGAGCATTAGATGAAGTTTCATCATTTCATCGACGACATCAGTCGAACGAAGATGTAAATGCAATGAAGTTCTTGACATTTTCACTCAAAAAATAAGAAGTAACATAAAAATTGAACATGATCATCATCATGCATGTGACCTCAAAATGAATCTTATTTAATTTCATTGGAGCGTGATTGCACCTTTTGTTTAAGAAGAAGTATGGCAGGCAGGCAAGCAAGCAGTGTAGCTCATAATTCTATTATTTACAGTTGGCAATTATGCTACAATTTCTTAATTAGTTCATGTCTTATCTAACTGCAATGAGTGTGTATTTAGCGAAAATACAGTAAGTACACAGCCATTGCAACATGTGAAGTCATTCAGTCATTACTTCATGCCTAAATGTTGCTAAACGATATAAGCTACAAATTACAATTTTTTTGTCTCACATGTGTGTCTATATGGCCCACCATCGAGGCACTGGCTAACGTGTCAAAAATGACCGATTTTTTTTTTTCCTTCTTTCCATTAATCATCCATCTATGCTGACATGACCTTTTATTGCAAGCATATATATTTTTGATAATTGCGATGATGATCACTGTAATTATTTGCCAGTGATGCTAATTTTCTATCGCACAAAAAAAAATATTTCAAATTAATGTTAATTTAGACAAATTTCGATTCAAACATTTGATATTGAAAATGTTTGAAAAATTTACCATGTGATTGATCAGGTCATTTAGTCGTGAATGATGAAGATCATAGTTTTTTCATGAGCAACTATTAGTAGCTGATTTTTCGAGAAATTGTTTTGGCATTCAAGTCGTTTGTTTCATAGAAGAATTCCGTTAAAATTTGCATTTTAAAACCCTACAAAACTAGTTCTGAAGACTTCAATCATTGAAAAACATTAAATTAAGAACATCATTATTCCACTTCATTTGTTTCGCATATAAATTCTGAATTCAATTCACTTGTTTGAGAGCTGTGCGCCTTATTCACCCATATCCAATGGACTGACGCCTTTCATAACAATTTTATTATTATTACTTTTCGTGCACTTTACATTTTGACATTGGTCGCTAAAAGATACATTTTAAAAACGCGGGATCTGAAATATTAACAGTGATTCTCTCAAGGAAGATGTGTAATTAGTCACTGCTGATGTTTACTACTCCTCAATGTAATGGAATCAAGTTTATACATAATGAAGTTATTTAATAGCTACTAATGGCTGTAAATATGGCATGATCGTTGAAAGAGAAAGTCAAATTGCCAATATCTCTCCATCGGTTCTACCTCTCTCGTGGTATACACGTTATGAATGTTCATTATGCGGTAATGTAAAGTATTCCATTTTTTCACATACTACTCATTTTGTTGTTGTTGTGGCTGTGCTGTTGTTTTTCGAGCAGAAATAGCGCAATTTTTTATTTCTTTCTTCTCACCTGCGACCTTGCCAACCATTCGTGAGTAGATTTTTTTTTTCACAGCTGAAAGAATGATGGAAATGATATTGTGCAACCTCAATTAGATTGTTCAATGAGAACATGAATGTTTTTTTTATGTATTTGCCTTAAAGTTATAAAGATTGTTTTATGCTTAGCGTAAAACTTGAGTCATTCTTGTACTGCTGCGTTCTTAACATAATTACAGAGCAGAATGTCTCTCTTTTTTGATAAGGATGATTAACTTACGATGTGCTTAAAACAGAATTTGTCCTTATTGCTCAGTTTTTCTCAGATTTTCTAAAATTCTGTCTTCAATTAAAATAACATCATTACATGAAATTATGCACCTTAAGACATGATGTTATGGCATTTTAATGTTTTATTGCAAATATACATGGAGAGTCACAGAGAGCACAGAAATATGTGATTGCATAAAATTAACTTCTTCCACAAACTGTGTGCTTTAATGTACAGTTAAAAATTTACACTGTATTCAACATGCGCTTTAGGTGCGGTACAAAAAATTAAATATTTTAAGCAATTGAATATTTGAAATTAATTGTGATTTATTAGCAACAAACATTCATAGTCACACAAGTGTGGTGCTTTAAAATCTGTATCAAGATCAAAACCTTCACTTTTCATTTCAAATTTTTTTTTGTATGTCTCTTGTGTCAACCGACACACCTGATAAGAACCGTTACAGTGGCTTAACCTTGACATAGAGGAATTGGTATACAAATATGAAACAGCTTATATATTTTTTAAGCTTTTTTTTATGTTACAGAAACGTCTTACTTAAACTTTAGATATGCTTTGTAATTTGATTAGCTTCTAGGTGCTGGAAACATTGTATACACAGTGGTAATTAAGATTTAATTTTTATGCTATAGATTCATGTTTGTGGGAAATAATATTTGAGTAATTAAGATTTATGGTTTTATAGTTTCGTGTGATTTAAATGGTTTTATGGATAAGCTGGTTTGGATCTTCATATAAGTCGATTGAGTTAAGATTGAAGTAATGAAGTTGAATTAAAGTTTGTCAAGTTTCAATCAAACGTTGATATAAGGGCTCGCGAAAAAATGACTTTTTAGACCCCCCCCCCCTCGTAACAAAATTTGTATGAAAAAAAAATTTCCTTGTTTGAACCG